TCTTCGAGAGAATATTTGATGTGCACCTTACTTCAATATTATAAAGTTCATACTTTATATAAACTTTTTCCTCTGTTTTATCCCAAATGCCGATACTTCAAATCTTGAAGTAGTAAATAAAGTATTTACTTCTTATCTTCGTTCAAGTTAAAATTTCTTACTTGGGATCTAGAAAATTTAAAGTTAAGATCTACAGTTCACTTAGAAACTTGAAATCCGAAGTTAAAGAAAAAATTATTTCATAATTTCAATCCAAAATTGCCACTTCAAACCTTTAAAGTTTGAAATAGGCGTATTTATAAATAAAAATAATTTAAAAAAAATTAAAAAACAAAAAGTAGGAAAAAAGTGGTAAAAATAAATAGCAATAAAACTGATGAATTTGTGACGCATGGTAGTATCAGAGGGCCACAAGCAGCTATTAAATATCTTGCCTTCCTTGAGATGCGGATAGAGTAAGCAAGGAATTAGGTGAAACCATAACCTTGTTTTGTCAACTGGTAAACTACTCGGGAATGGGGTTGAAGTCGTAATAATATCAGTCCAGGTTTTTATTCCTGAAGCATTTCAAAACCACTAACTATTTAAAAAAAACGTGTGGTTTTTATTCCTGAAGCATTTCAAAACCACTAACTATTTAAAAAAAACGTGTAGGGGCTTGTTTACCCTATTTATCTATCCAAAAAAACAAAATGGTAAACTAGTTTTTATCCCCACCCTAGTAAGTTTTTACGAACTAGAAGTGGAGACGACCGCTTCAGAGATTGAACAACGGGAGAGCTAAGCTCCAGAAGAGGCTTAAACATTGGGGGTCTTTGACTTAGTTCTCTATATTATTATCATAGTTTATGATTCATGATAAGTTTTGGCAAAATTTTGTGTAAGTTGCCTACCAACACAACCAAACCTTTTTACCTTGATATGGGACGGACAAAAGGAAAGTTTAAGATCATCACCTTTCTTAAACCATGAGTCAGATCTTTATAATAGCGTAAAATGGGTTTTTTAGAGGCGAAGGTTGGGAATGGTACTCTGCCGCGAAGTTGATACCAAACTCTTCCACATTTTATGTGAGATCAACCTCTCGAGCTGCTCATGATTTTCTACGTTATGTGTTTTCAGGGGTAAATATGTCATTTTGATCACTCATTCTTTATAATCTTGGATAAAATAAAGTATGCTTTAAATGGGTTGCCATTCAAGAGCTCCATTCTATCATGATTTTTTTGAAGCTTAAAGAGATTGTTGCGCTTTTTCATAGGCTAGCCTCGTCTTTCAAGCCAAAGGCTGAGATTTTTTAGGTGAAGAAAGGAACTAAGTTGAATGCATGGTAAGTTACGAATTTATGGGAATTTTAATTTTGGTTCAGTGCATCTCTCTTTTTCTCTCGTCCTTTGCTCTATGCATCGGTGGTGTGATTAAGAACACCCATATCCTTCCCCAAATCAAGCCGCTCATTCTCTCTTTAAGAACGAACCATGTTTTTGATATAGTTACCCCTTTACCCCCTGAACAAGAAATATCTTTTTTTTCCGTCAACAATAGCCACCATCCAAAACAAGTGGTTTACGAGGAAGGAAATAAAGATACCCTTACTCTATCTCTCAAAGGCTCCCACTACATAAAAAAAGAGGTTAAAGCTATAATTCAAATTATAGATGAGTGACCAGGATTGGGTATCGCAAAAATCGATTTGGTTTGGTGAATCGCCTGTATGGATTGCCGTATTATTATGCAGGAAGAAAGTGAAATTGGCAAAAAAACATGTACAAAAGCACTGAATCAGTAAAAAACCATTTTGGATGGGTGAATCGGCAATGTTACTATAGCAAATCGCCAGTTCTCTTTTAGACCTGGACGATTTTCGATATATTAGCATAATTGGCACAAGGTGACCGATTCCTGGGTCAGACCAAGTGACTCCATGCTCAGTCGACATTTTTTAAGTCATTGGTTTAAAGGGAAAACATGGGTAACTTGTTTCGTAAGTTACTTCACTCGTATTCAATAAATTGTGAGATCTGACGGCAAGTACGTGGGTCTTATAAGAAAAAGTATACAAAGATTTATTTTTTTATATAAAGAAGGCACAATTACTCTTATCCCTTTGATTTCAAATTGAATAGTTGTAAGAGTATCATTGAAAAGATTCAAAGTTGAAAATGAAAATTAAAAATTCTTGGACTTCGTGACTAGCCCAAGCCATCCAATTTAACATCTAATGAGTAGAAGCGATTGTGACATCTTTGTAATAAAGATAAATAGTCTCATTATATATAATCCCATCTTACAAAGCCATCGGTTTAGGTAGGGACACAGAAGACCATTTCCCAAAAATAAAATAAAAATTTTGAGAAAAATTGTAATATGGGATATCCAAGGGGTATGAGCATAAATTTCTCTAGAAGCATAAAACCATCTTATCTCTCTTGAAATGAAATGCATATAAAATAAGAAAATTTGGTTTCTTTGTAATGACAAAGTAGGTTAACAGTAATAAAAAAAGAAGCCAATTGATGGTGGTATTATAGTAGAAAAAATTAATTTGATTTTCCTTTGTCATTGTGAGGTAATCTCTACAAAACCACCCACTCCTATAAATTTTCTATTAATAATAAATGCTTCCTCACTTGTAGATGAATCCCATTTTAGGTGAACCTCGTAAATAGATGTTGGTCTTTGCTTTATGCTTCTATTTTTATTTTTAGATTCATGTTTTACTTGTCTTTGGTTCTTTCTTTACTTTTTTCAAATTCATTGCACATAGTATTGTTCTTGAGCATTTTGTTTTCTTGGAATCAACTTGTCGGTGATTGACAAATCACTTTTGCAGTGTTAGGTTTGTTGTTGTGGGGAGCTCACCAACATCAAGTAGGGACTGGGTTTATACCTATTTGCCAACAAGATTGAAGCTAATCAAGTTGAAGAGTAATGGTGGTATACAATCTCATATTTTATTTAAGTTGGATCCTTGATAGTGGAGCCACTCATGATGTGTGCCCACATAAATCATAGTTTGACTCATTTAAGTGATATATAGGACGATTTTGTATTCATCGGCAACAATTGAACTAGAAAAGATCCTTACAAGCCTTATCTTTACAGACCAAAGGATTTTCTTTGCTAGGCCAAAATCCTTCATCTCAAATCTTTTGCTCAAGAATGTCTTGATTTCATCAATCCTAACTTTATCTTTGCACATCAAAAATATGTCATCCACATATAAGACTCAAATAAAGTATGTACCATCATCAAATAACCTTCAATAGATGCAATGATACTTACTTTGAGGGCGTGTTTGATAAAATAAAGTTGCTTCCAAGAACTTGAAAGTTACCTGTTACTGTGGATGTTCCATGCTCGATAAAAATATGGAGGTTAAAATGGTAACTTACCCACAGATCCTCCCCTATTTGAGCTTAAAAAAAGTTTCGTCTATTTAGATGGAAGTTACATCAGGAACCTCAGGGGAAGCACATCCATAGACAAAACCTGCTCGTTTGAAGCCTGATCGTCTGAACTTGCTCGCGTGAACAAAAGCCTGATCGTCTGATAAAGCTTACTCGTGTGAAGACCGCTGACAAAAAGCCCTTTTCTCTATCTTTCTCTTTGCTCTCTTCTCAGTAACACAAACAAAGAAAAGCTCTCTTCTCTGTCTATCTTTTCTGCTATCTTCTTTGTCTCTCTATCTGCTCTCTTCTCTGTCTCTCTCTCTGCTCTCTTCTCGCGTGAAGACCGCTGAAAAAAGCTCTCTTCTCTGTCTCTCTCTCTGATATAAAGCAAACTCTGTAGTCATTTGGAGGTGCACCTTTGTTCAAGAAAGCAACTATTGCCCTTTGTTCTCTGTTAATATAAAGCAAAGCTCTCACAGCTACTACCCTTTGCTCTCTGTTAAACTCATGCTCACTCTGCAAACCCTAGATTGAGGAAGAGAAAGGGACTCACTCGCAGCAACCGCTTGCCCCATCGCCATCATCATAGAGAAGGAACCCCAAATTAGTCAGTATTTTTTTTCTTCCTTCTTCTGTTTATTATGATGATAAACCCCAAATGACCATAGTAGTATTTTTTTTTTGCTATGATTTTTGTTGATAAACCTCAAATCAGTGCGTTAATTCACTAATAAACCCAAATCAGTGAGTTGATATATTTTTTTTGCTGCTATTTTGGCTCATAAACCCCAAATCAGCAAGTTTTTTATTTTTTATTTTTTATTTTTCTGTTACTCTCGAAATAGAGAAGTTAACTCACTGATAAACCCCAAATCATTGAGTTCAATTTTTTTTTCGCTACTAGTTAGGCTGATAAACCCCAAATCAGTGAGTTTACTCATTGATAAATCCCAAATAAGTGAGTTATTTGTTTTTTTGCTACTATTTTTGCTCATAAACCCTAAATCAGTGAGTTAATTCACTGATAAGCCCCAAATCAGTGAGTTTTTTTCTTTTGTTCCTATTTTTTCTGTTAATCTCGAAATAGAGAAGTTAACTCACTGACAAAA